TGAGTGTTTGTAGTAGTTTGTCCTATAATGTCCTCCGTTTTTACTAAGACGTCCTGTCTCCCGCTTACTGAACTCTACTTCCTCTCATCTTGTGAGCTGGTCTTTCCAACTCTGTGCATGTCCTCTGTTCCCTTCTATCCATCTCTGTCTCTCTCTCTCTCTCTGTGTGTGTATGTGTGCCAGTCAGGTCGCTGCCATGGCGCCCCAGCAGCTCTGGGCCTTGTTGATCACAGCACTGTGCCCAAGGGTTCCCATGGCAACGGCAGTGGCAGCAGACAGGGTTCTGTTTTGAAGATGTGTGTGTGTGTGGGCCTAGTGTGGTGGGCAGCAGGCTGTGAACTCAGCAGGCCTCTATCTGGGCAGCAAGAGAAGGACAAGCAAGTCAGAGCAAACAAAGCAGCCTCTATTCACTCTTTATTTTTTCTCTTTTTATTTAACACAGGATGGCATAAGCTATAACTGATGCATGTACACGAGTGACAGCCGGACATGAAAACCCAGGGGGCCGACTAGGACGGTGACATAGAACGCTGCGGCTCCTCTTCCAGCCGTTGTGGCTGAAAAAGTGCAGCATTTTTACAGTCGAGTCAATTTTGGATTGCCAGGTGTGGCTTTGAGAATGTTGTGTTCATGGCTGAGATGTGGAGTGCAGCAGGAAACTGTTAACGGGCACAGAGGAAACGAAGCAGCTGCAGAGTTTTGATGAGCGGGTCTAGTGCTCTGAAGAAATAAAAACCAGCATCTTCGCTCCAGTTAAAGTTAAACAAGTCATTTCTATTGGTAAAAGCCATTCCTTTTGGTAGCAGCAGACAGTCTGGATGCATTTTTCTATAGATTTCGCTCTGGGACTACTTGTTCACAGGGGAACATGACAGCTGAAGCTTAGAGAAAAAACATTTCTTTTGTTAATAGGACTCTAACTCTCCTAGTCCAAATTAGCAAGCAGCTAGCATGCACTCTCTGCTCGCTGTCAGCATAAATCCCCTTTCAAACCTGAGTCTGAGGCTCCATTCTGCTAGCTGTGAAAACAGGAAGGCTCCAGTGTTCAGCTAAACCAGACAATCCTGGTTCTCCTAAAGTCAGCCCATCTGAGATGTAGAGTTATCAAGCAATAAGGGTGTCAGAGGCCTCAGCTGAGTGATTGCAGTCTCCATAGATGGCAATTAGCCTGATATTTGTTTTGGGGCCAAACAAGGGTGTATGTCCTCATTATTCATAGAAGGAAGTTTTTCCCAGAATTGTCTGGGAATCTGCAGATAAGCAGCCTGTGGCTGAGCTTCTGGACTTCATACTGTAACCCATCTTATCATTATCAGCGGTTCATACGCCATGCTTTCTCTCACCTTCTACGTCTTTGTGTTTTATTTATTTATGTAATTTTTTTTCCCCCAAAGGCAACCACATTTTTATATTTTCTATAGTATTAACAGTCAATATCCACCGTTTCAAATGCAACTCCATCCACATGTTTAAACTTCAGAATACCAATATATGAAAAAAAAAAAAAAAAGATTGAAAATTAAATCTATTGAGACTTTTAAAACATTTCCTGCATTTGCAGTTTATGAGAAAACCATGTTTATTTACTGGCTGGTCAGTGAGTTAATGGCTGCAAGCCATCAAAAGCTGACATCTTTCCGGTGTTGAAGACTGTCTCTCTGATAGAAGTGTCTGACAGTCTTTACTGACAACTTATTGACCTCATACTGGCCCCCTTTTTATCTCTCTCTCTCTCCCTGTTGGCCTTAAAATGCTTTTATTGGTCTGTCTCTATGACTAAGTTTTTAACTTAATCTGATCTGAAGAAAAGAGATAAAAACAATATTTACATCAAAATATTAATTTACTTTCAGAAACTTTTTTTATGAAAATGTTTTTCAAAGTTAAATTTTTTGGATTAAATTTTTTTTTTTACTATCCATTTACAAAACACATATAAACGAAAAGTCTGCTCATATTCAGAATTCAAACTTCTAAAAGTACTTAAACAATGAAATTATTACATACTGTTCAATAAATGATCAGTGTTTTTAATTAATAGTAATTTTCATTTAAAGATGCTTTACTGGAGACATCCATGTTTGTCAAAGAACGCTATTGCCACGGTGGGGTATTGGCTGTTGATCAAGTCCCAGTGCTGTAGATGGTGTTTGTCACAACATGCTATTGTCCAAGTCATCGTGACAAGCTGTCTGTGGCAGATCATGAATCGGGAAGGTGAAATCACAAATTTTTTTCCACTTTTAACTGATATATTGAAACATCCAGCTGCCATGCACGTGGGCATTTTCAGTTTAACTATAGCTCTGGTGAATTTCAATGGTAAAGTCCTCTGGAAATCTTAAATAATTGTTGTTGATTGCAGATCTGTCTAGTAGTTAGGTATAATGATTCATTGATTATTCCCTGCTGACTTTTCCTTTAAACCATGCCTAAAAGCATGGACAGGCTGGCACATAATATTAAATAACCTAGATCAGCTGATAATAAACACAATCAGATGTTCAGATACATAAACATTTCCCCAGAAACGTACAAAACAAAACAACTATGAGACGGCTCATGCAATAGTCCGTATAAGGTAAAAGTCTGGATGCTGCAGTCAGTGAGTCAGTGGAAACTCCACAGCTTCTGTTAGAGTGATGCAAAACTTGACCTGTCAAAGGAGAATAGGAAAAGGTTGCTTGAAAAACACCTTTAATGTAAACTACAGTGAATTTAACCCTCCTGTGTACAGAGACATGGGTGGGTCATAACTGAAACCTCTGGTTCCCCCACCCTAACCAAAGAAGCAGCAGCAGGATCTCAATGCACATTATTCAGTCTGCTTAAAGACATGACATGTGGATTATGGTTGTAATCACATCAGACCTGCACACAGCATGCAGACTGTTCACCATGTATGGTGTTCTGCAGCCTATGATCTTAGTAGATACTGCTGTTCTTGCAAGAGAGGCCTACTTCTCCTTACTTTTCACTCCTCGTCATGGCTTCCTCCATGTTAACACTCAGGGAGCAGGCTGTTTGATCCTCTGGGTTTACTTTATTTTTCTTAAACAGTGAGAATGCAAGAAATCCCTTCCTAAATTTCAGAACTACTTGGTTCCTTCGTCAGGCTTTTATAGAACCAACACTGGCTGACAGAAAAGGCTGCTCCGCCTGGTTGGCCAGCGGTGTTCTCTGAATAAAGTCTCTGTCTGTCTCTTCACTGTGGCTGATGTGCTAAGCTGTGCCTCCCAGGCTCCCTGGCTGTTGGTAAATAAAGCTTTCTCAGGAAAAAAAAAAAACAAAACAAAAAAAAACAAGCATTCTGGCTTATCAACATAGTTTCAAAATATTGTGGATTTTCTTTTAATTTACTTTATATATACAATTGCAACTCTGATTATACGGCTAGATTGTCTAAAATACCAATTTATTCCTGTTCTGCTTTTTTGTTTTAATAAATGATTTCAGCTCATCAACCAGGTTTTAATGTTGGTAAATTAAAGCTGGAGTGCAAACAAAAATCAGACAGAGGAAAAAAGTAGCCTGTAAGATCACCACTGTTGAAACTTTATGATGTGGATTCCCCATTATCGTCGCCTGCTGTACCACACACTGCAGCATTTTGTAATGATCCAATACTTCAAACACCTCAATTTAAGCTCATTCTCATCAGTACCAGATATGTTTACATTGGACTTAACATGGTTTTAAAGGAGTAGTTAAATGTTATTTGGAAGGATGTATTGTTTTTTTAACTCAGTTTTGCACATAAACATTCTACGTGTTCAAGGTTTAAAACACTAATTTCTCTAACCAATGTATATTTATATATCTTTACACAAGCAATAATAATAATAATTGAACTCTGTTGATCTCACATTAGAGAAATTTACCTCTGCACTTAACCTATCCCCTTGGGAAGCAGTGGGCTGCTATCGTGGGGCGCCCTGGGAGCAATTAGGGGTTAAGGGTCTTGCTCAAAGACCCCAAGTGGCAGTCAGTGGGAATGGGGCTTGAACTCGGAACCTTTGGGACCCAAGCGCAATAACCTAGTGGTCATTGCGCTTGGGTTTAGTTCTTGGGATTTGGAGTTCAATTTTTGGCAGAGTGAGAGGTGGGGAAGCTTCTGAGGAAATCCCCTTAAAGTGAGGAAGCAGATGTTAGAATGTAGGCAGAGACAGTGAGTCGGTGAAGGAAACGGACGGGTTTGGTTTTGTGTCTTTTAGAACTGTGCCTGCACTGTTTTGACCAGAATAGCGCTTCTAGAGATACATTTTAAGATTCCAGGAAGGATTGAGGTGTCCAATGTGGTGACGGTCACACTGGACAATCAGGCTGAGGACGGAGGAGAGAGCAGAACGTTTGTCAACAACTTTGTTCTTGTGAGTGTAAAGAAAAACATGTTGCAATCCAGTCAATAATTTTAAAAGAAGTCTAAGTCTAAATAGAAAATGGGCATGATGACTTGGCGGTACTACCCTATTGTAAGAACTTTATTCCAGATGTGTGTGCATGTGGGGGTCAGGTGCACCACACATTCAGCCAATTTAACAAAGGAACAGCTGTTGTAGTCAATATAGATCCAAATCTGTGAAGTTTTTTGTTTTTTTTTAACATGCATTCACACTTTTACCTTGAAATTGGCCTGTGCTACCCCCTGCTGGTAAACAAACGCAATATCAGTTTTCGAGAACTCAAAATGTAAAATGGTAGAATATGTTGCTTCTTTGACCTCCGTTGTTACGGATGAAACTGTGAAGTAAATGGTTGGATCATTGAGTTTTCAGTAAAAGCAAAAGTATTGGATGAAAACAGAAGATAACTACAGACTCACACCCAATTTTTTCCACACCACCAAACGAGGCCGTTTCTGGAGGAGACGAACATCGACCACATGATTTGATCCCCAATTCTTTTAAAAATGGCCTTTAAACCTCACTGTTGGACTGGAAGTAGATCCTAATTCTACCTTTGTTTGGGACTAATCTCTTTCTTTGTTTGTTTTTTTGCAGCTGAACTGGAGTTTGTTCAGATTGTCATCATCATCGTGGTGATGACAGTGATGGTGGTGGTGATCATTTGCCTCCTCAATCACTACAAGCTATCCACGTGGTCCTTCATAACACGCCAGAGCCAGGCCCGCAGGCATGACCACACCCTGCAGCAGGTTAGAAGTGGCACTTTTCTTTTTCTAACACGCCTTGTGTGGGTGTACCATCAATCATGGTTTATGTTTGGATTAATTTGTACAATACTTGATTCACAACAAATGTCTTCTCAATGTACTTTACAACACAAGCAGATAAGGTGTATATATATATATATATATATATATATATATATATATATATATATATATATATATATATATATATATATATATATATATATATATATATATATATATATATATATATATATATATATATATATATATATATATTCCCCTCCCACAAATTACCCAGGTACTTGTATGTGCTCTTAATAATCTTAAAATAATCATGCAGTAGTTGGTGTGTTAATTCAATTCATCCATCCATCTTACATTGATGAATGTATGAGTGTATGTATGAGTTCATATGCAAACTTCAACAACATAAACGACTGTCTGGAGCAGTTAAAACAGCTATATAGCATCATAGCTATCTTTGAAACATAGATCAATCATGAGAAAGCTGGATGATTATGAGTTCAATTACATCAATATAGAAGAGATAACTGGGGGAGGAGTAGCTGTGTATGTTGACAAAAACATAAAGTATAAAATAGTAGAAAACATGACCATAGTGACTAAAGATGTATTTGAGGGTTTAACAGTTGAAAAAAAGTCAAAAAATGTCATCATTAGCTGTGTATATATAGAGCTCCTGGCTCGAATAAATTAGAGAATAGTTTGAGCAAACATACACAGTCACATCCCAGAAGGTCTTCTTCAACTTTGGAGACTTTAATATTGATCTTTGTAACTCAAATAATCATAAACCTACCGAAGAGTTCACTAATACCATGTACAGTTTGAGCCTTTCTCCAAAAATCACTAGACCCAGCTTAACAGTGCCACATTAATAGATAAGATATTCACTAATATCTGAGATAACAATATGTTAAGTTAATTAACAGGGCAGCATATTAGGCATCATCTTTGAGTCTTTGTTTTCAGCAAAAAAACTATGTACAAAATAAGGATAAAAGTAATCCTCAATTTAAAAGAGTAAGAAAAGAGGATTCACTAAAATCTTTCAAAGAATCCTTATTGAAACATAACAGGTAGTCTGTTTTGCAAGAAGATACTGTTGATATATATATGGATGAAAAGTTATCCAAGCAACAGGCAACAATTTGTACAAATGGGTGACTGCCAGTCATCGGGCTTGGACATGGTTTGTGGTGTCCCCCAGGGGTCGGTATTGGAGCTAAAATTATTTATCCTTTATAGTAATGACATCCGCGTTTGATAGATCTGAGGCCAGAAATGAGGATATGTTCTCTGACCCATTTGTTTACGTTTGTTCGTTTTAATTGGGCAACCATGCAGCCAGCCAATCTCTCCTATCATCTGTGTTTGTCACAATTTAATCTGATTGTTTCCCTATTTCTGCCTTTTGTTCTACAGGCTGCATAAACAGTCGGTTCTAGTGGAGAAGCTGATTTCCAACCGTTATGCTATTTTTAGTTTGGAAATGTTTCTTGTCCTTTCTTGCTCGGGTATCAAACCTCCATGGTGTGGGTTAGGGTATGTTGATGTTGCAGAAACATCCTTGTCACAGAGAATTAAATATTTATAGGGAGAGGATCCGACAAGGTAGTTGACAGGACATCAGATTACTTGTTTTTAGTTTGTTTGAAATGAGCGAGATGCGGATCATTTAGTTTTTATTTAGTTATATTTACAGGATATAAAGAACTACTCAAATTATATTTAGATTACACATGTATAGATTCATTAATTCTGCGGGGAGAAAAGGAATTTAGGGTTAGGATTAGGATTCACCCGATAATAACAACCTAATAAGCCTAGTGGCACAGTGTGAAGCCATTCTATGGGACTGATAACTGCTTGTAACAGCCATTTATTGGGATGATAACATCCGAAGCACAGCTTCACCATTTCCGTCACACTTATCCCAAGGGGGGTCGGTAGGGGTGCTGTTGTCTATCTATCCAGCTGTCTACAGGTGAGAGGCGGGGTGCACCCCGGGCAGGTCACCAGGCTATTGCAGGGCAACACAGAGACCAACAGGATAAACGATCATTCACTCGCACACCTAAGGAGAATTTCCAGAAGCCAATTAACTGAAGGGAACCCACGCATGCTCAGGGAGAACAGAAAAATCCCGAGCCGGGAATCAAACCCGGAACCTTCTCGCTGCAATGCAGCAGTTCTGCCAACTGCTCCACTGAGCAGCCCTTTCTATATCACCAAATTTAAAAATGACATAAACTAACAACAAACACAGGCCAGAAAAGCAGAGCAGGAAGTCAACACAAAGGATAACAAAGGAAAACTATGGTTGAAAAAAAATACTCTGGTATGAAGTGTTCCAGAAGTAAAGATTTTGACGTGGCCTGCCTGCTCACAGAGGTTTCCACCAGAAAGTTCTGACCCAAACTTCTTGGGTTGGCTTGTTGCTTAGTTTTTAACCCTTTATATGGAAGGTTACCGGCACAAACCCTAACCCTACTCCTGAGAATTAATATTATAAAATTTATAACAGTGCACAATTTTTGAGTCATTTCTCATGTATAGGTCTGCAGTTATTAGCTAAGAGATCCCTGTTTGATGTCTGGGACAAGCTTTGATTCATAGGTGTCTTTTATTATTATTATTTATTCATTGTCTATCTATGGCCCTGTCCTTGTATAGATTTGCACCATGTTTAGACTGCAGACTGAAAGCTTTTGTTAGTTTACTAACAAGCAGCGCTGCTCGATCGAACTAAGGTGTAGGTTATCCCTTTTCCTTTATGCAAAACAGCCTTAAATTGTGCAAAGACTTTAAGACTGGAATAGAGATTCCACTTTTAGTAATATACTGAAATTATACACTCACCGGCCACTTTATTAGGTACTACTGTCCAACTGCTCGTTAACACTTAATTTCTAAGCAGCCAATCAAATGGTGGCAACTCAGTGCATTTAGGCATGTGGACAGTCTCCTGCAGTTCAAACCGAGCATCAGTATGGGGAAGAAAGGTGATTTGAGTGACTTTGAACGTGGCATGATTGTTGGTGCCAGAAGGGCTGGTCTGAGTGTTTCAGAAACTGCTGATCTACTGGGATTTTCACGCACAACCATCTCTAGGGTTTACAGAGAATGGTCCGAAAAAGAAAAAACATCCAGTGAGCGGCAGTTCTGTAGGCAGAAATGCCTTGTTGATGTCAGAGGAGAATGGCCAGACTGGTTCGAGCTGATAGAAGAGCAACAGTGACTCAAATAACCACCCGTTACAACCAAGGTGGGCAGAAGAGCATCTCGGAACGCACAGTACGTCGAACTTTGAGGCAGATGTGCTACAGCAGCAGAAGACCACACCGGGTGCCATTCCTTTCAGCTGAGAACAGGAAACTGAGGCTACAATTTGCACAAGCTCATCGAAATTGGACAATAGAAGATTGGAAAAACGTTGCCTGGTCTGATGAGTCTCGATTTCTGCTGCGACATTCGGATGGTAGGGTCAGAATTTGGCGTCTACAACATGAAAGCATGGATCCATCCTGCCTTGTATCAACGGTTCAGGCTGGTGGTGGTGGTGTCATGGTGTGGGGAATAGTTTCTTGGCACTCTTTGGGCCCCTTGGTACCAATTGAGCATTGTTTCAACGCCACAGCCTACCTGAGTATTGTTGCTGACCATGTCCATCCCTTTATGACCACAATGTACCCAGCTTCCGATGGCTACTTTCAGCAGGATAATGCGCCATGTCATAAAGCTGGAATCATCTCAGACTGGTTTCTTGAACATGACAATGGGTTCACTGTACTCAAATGGCCTCCACAGTCACCAGATCTCAGTCCAATAGAGCATCTTTGGGATGTGGTGGAACAGGAGATTCGCATCATGGATGTGCAGCCGACAAATCTGCGGCAACTGTGACATGCCATCATGTCAATATGGACCAAACTCCCTGAGGAATGCTTCCAGCACCTTGTTGAATCTATGCCACGAAGAATTGAGGCAGTTCTGAAGGCAAAAGGGGGTCCAACCCGTTACTAGCATGGGGTACCTAATAAAGTGGCCGGTGAGTGTATATACAGCTGGAGCTACAGCAAAATGGTTGTGATCGAAACAGGCTTTAAAACTGGAAATATAGTTCGCCGATTGCTTCCTTTTGTATCAAACTGACCTAGAGTCATTGTACAAAGGTGACAGAAATGTCAGTCTGAATGCACATTATATCTCAAATATCCTTTCATCACAATATTACTGTTTGCTATATTGATTTGCAAGCAGCAGTTTGGAAAGCCATATATGTTTCTATTTTCTAAGTACTACAAATTAATGCCGTGCATGCCAGTCATGTACTCAAATTTTTGAATGGAGTTCAACAATTTGATGCCTGTTAGTAGGCATCCACAGATTTTCTGCATAATGGTGAAGATCATAGATAAAGCTTTATTAAAAAAATGACATGTTTTGTTCTTAGTGTAACATGATTACGGCTGGTTAAAAAAATCTATTTAATCGATTTTGAATCGATTCCTTTACATTTTTGCAAAATCGATGTCTAGGGAAGGAGACCGATTCATCTTATAGTGACCCGCGTGACGTTCACATTCAAATAAGCAGGAAAGATGCACTCAAGATTACTTTAAGCCAGACAGCTGCAAATATAGCCAATAGGTTGACTGAAGACATTAACAGCTGCTTCCCTACGACTTTAAGTTAGTGTAGGTTAGGGGTGAGTATCGGCATTGGGTGTTTCAATACGATATGTATCACGGTACTTGGATCACGATACAATATTATCATGATATTGCAATATCCTAATATATTGCAGTTTTTTTTTCCTATCAACATTAAATGTATACATAAAAAAGCCAATGCTGTGTATGTTCATTAGAATATATTGATAATTTAGTTATTTTGGTATCCATGTTGTTTGGGGTCTGAGTCAGTCCACGTCTTCCACCGTGAGTGCCTCCACTACAGATATGGTGCAGCTTCACAAAGCAATAGGGCTCCACAGTGTCATCTGAAAGAGTGGCGGTGCAGAGGTAGCCCACTTCCCCTCAGATTTAGGTAAAAATATTTAGTTTTTTTAATTTTTTTTATTGATACCAGGAACAGAAAGATCGATATATCAGGCAGCCGCAAAGCAAGATATGTCACCAAAACAAGTCTTTCCCCACACCCCTAGTGCAGGGGGAACCTTAGTTGCAGCTAGCCTACCACTGTGCCGTGCAGCACAGGTCGGTTTGTCTGAGGGATTAGCTTGCCATCAATATCAGATTATTCCAAAATTTAAGGAGAACAACAAACCTGATCGATCTCATGAGAAAAACGCAGCAGCATAAAATATTAGACTTTTTTTTTTCTTTACATTTTGGGAGAATTATTGCATTTATTAAAGCCATGTTTAAATGTGGGTTACATTAGTGTGCTTTGGGGTCTTGATCTTTAAACCACTATATCAGGCCGTATTATTTTTCTGTCTTTTTAGGATGGCTGTCTGTGGCCTGCAGACGGTGGCTCTCGACACGGTGCCTCAGAGGTAAGACCACCAATGTAGTTGATAGACTTAGATTCACAAGCCAGGAGCATGTGTGGGAGTACCTCAGACTAAATACTTAGATTAAAAGATAAAATGGGTATTTTACAGAAAATTTAGCGCGAAAAAAGACTGTCTTGATTTTTTTTTATTCAATTTAAATTAGTTCTTGGATAAAACATCAATGTACAGGCTGCTATCTCACTTTAAAGAACACAGCACAGTCAAATCATTGACTTTGCAGGATTCGCTCCTCCTGAATGAGCTTGTGGAAACAGTAGATATTACATTGCATCGTTTCGTTGAATCTACAACTGTCCCTCGCAGGAGATGACATATAGTGACAACGAGAAGGGAAAACTCCCTTTTACCAGAAAGAAACCTTCAGCAGAGACGGGCTCAGTGTGACCTGCCATCTGCTGATGACCACTGGGGGTCAAGGATACAGAAGCAAACACACAGAAGAGGAATAGAAGCACTGATCTATTAAATCTTATATGTTAGAAAAGATAACAGTAAACTAGCTCCTTAGGTGGCTCTTTGTGGGAAAGAAAGCAGAGTAGAAAGAGAGTAAAAGATGAATCCATAGTTTAAACGTTTAAGTTTTCTGTCACAGCGCCTACAATGCAGAAGACTCCACAGGATCATTTAGTTCATGGCTCATCTATGTGGGACTCATCTATGAAATTACATTTTAATGCGTTTAATGCTTTCATTCCAAAGGTATCTAGACTCACTCCAACTTGTCATGGAGTAATACACACAAGAGGAGGCCTTTTATACCCCTTAGTGGCCAAGTCACTGATGTTAGTTTTACTGGGTGACGTCACAATAACGGTAGAGCATCACCAATCAGGTGCCATACATTCAACTAAGAAAAGCACCAAACAGATGGTTTTTGGCCAGAAAAGCAGGACTGAAACAACTATGCTGTAAATTGTAAAGATATTGCCCGGCATGTCAACAGTGTTGTACACCCATGTTTAGTTAATTGGGGGGGAAAGGTCACTTTTGGGGTCAGTCATGCTTTAAAAGAAAATAACAACGTTGTTAGATTCCTGCGTTCTGTAGGAATGTAACAAGCACCAAGCATGCTTGTAATGACAGTGGAGAGGAAAAACTCCCTTTTAACAGGAAGAAACCAGCAAAACCAGGCTCAGCTCCCATAGATATTGCACCAAAAACCAGACATTTGCAGCTAGAATAATCATTTACCACATTAGCAATGTATAGAGTGTATTTCTTTAAAGTTAAGACTAGTTTAAAGTTACCTTCATTGAAAAGTACAGTGCTTCTCCTTAAAAAATACAGACATTTCAATGTGACCCCAAACTTTTGAACGGTAGCAAAGAATTTCCTGCATCCTTTTTTCAAACCTTTCTTTCCAGAATCTGACCGTTTTGGTCTTATAGAGAGTGATTGATTATTCAAGTTTTTGAAGGCAGTCTGATCTTCTCCTAGATGTTGGTCTGGTCCCTTCAGGGCTTTGTGTCGTTGAGGACCACTGTGAATCTACCTTTGTCTGCTGGCGAAATGGTGATGTCATGTTTTTTGTTGATAAGTAACAGTGATACGACTGTATTTCTCAGTGTATAGAGTATATTTGGTGACATGGTTGAAAAGCAGGTAGGAAAGTTTAAAAGAAATGTAATGTGATGCATTTAGTCATCATATTGGCGAGTTAAAATAAACAGAATGTGTAATGCGTTGGACCACATTTTTTAGTTCCAATGTCCAGAAAAAAACTTTAGAAGTAAAAAAAACAACAAAAGAGAATAGGAGGTGACAGAAAGTGTGGATGGAAGCAGTAGACACGAGGGTTACGGTAGGCGATAAGTGTGACTGTAGGTAAAAACAGTGTCAGTGCTGAAGCAGCTGGAGAGAAAGGCACAAAGAGGAAAAGGCCACGCAGAGACAAACACAGAGGGAGACGCAGGCAGTGAGTGTGGGTGGCTGATAGATGCTGGGATGCTGTCTGATTCACTGTGTGTGTGGGGGGGGTGAGTGGCAGAATGGGATGGGGGGGATTCTGGTGCATCATTAATCAGCAACACCTCCCCTGACACTGTCTAGACAGCCGTCTGAGAGCTGCCCTGCTCTGCTGCGCTCTGCTCCCTCTATCAGCTATAAACCTTTCTCCCCCTCTGTCTATCTTTCTATCTGCACTTTCTTTCTCTTTTTCATCTCACTCTTCTCTTTCCCTCCAATGCTCTTTTTTCATCTCTACATCCTTATCTCAGTAGCCTCTTTTTGCTGTTTAATCCTTTAGGTTTGACTCTTTCTGTGCCTATGTCAGTTTCACCATTTTAATTGCCCAGATCATCTCCTCTCTCTCTCCCGGGTTCCTTTTCAAGCTTATTGTTATCTTCACCCAGACCCCTTTGATGATTAGACACAGAAAAAGGTTAGAACTGGATAGAAAAGATAAGAATGACAGCAGTGATCATTGTGTTCCAGTTTGAGGAGCTATATGAGTTGAAAAACCAAAACCCCAAACAAAAGGTGGCAGATTTTAGTAGGTAGTCTAATTTTAGTAGGGGATTTCCTTATTTTCTGTAATTAACCCTTCTGCAATCTCAATTGTTAGCTCACTGGTCTTTTTAGAAGTACAGGCTGATGATCAGCTATTTTTGCATCAAAGTTGATGCTTTAACTGCTAAGATTCTGCCTCAAAAAGCTTTACAAAACTTTGCTGAACTTCATGATAGTACCATACTCTTGGGTTGTTTTTTCCAGTAGGGGTATGAATTGGCAAAAAAAAAAATTGGGAATGCAGTATGTATCTTCATACATCTATTACGATACTATTTATTCTTATATATCCAATACATTAACCAAGACCAAGATATTGTGATCTTTGTAATAATAATATACAGTAGATCTTGTAGCTGGTGCATAGCAGTTGAATACTAGACTCTTACAGTGCCAACTACTGGCTGGTGTCAATGACATGGATGTTTTCCTTGGAAATATATTTTTTTTATGTCAAAAATCTATTCAGCCATATTTTAAATCAATGAGAATCTTCTGAAATATTCCAATATTTGACAGAATAATTTTTTCCTTTTACACCCCGAATAAACACTAGTATATTATTGGTAATATTGTTGGAGCATTACACTGCAAAAAAATTTAATCTTAAGCATTTTTCCTTCAGTTGGGCAGGTAACTGAGACACTTTGCCAATACAAGAAGACAATTTACATTTAAAATAAGAAATAACTACTGCAGCCTCTTATTTTAAGTGCCTAATATCTGATTATCTTTAAGCCTAAACATACCTATTCCATTGGCAGGTATTATTATTTACCCACTCAAATTAAAGTCAAAGATTTTGAACTCATTTTAAGATTGTTTGTGAAGTTTGAATGTAGAATATTATGTTTTTTTTCTTTCCCCTACCTGTCCACCTATATTATTCAGTTCAGCTTTTTTATATAGATTTAGAACACATGTAATTTCAAAGCACTTTACAGAGAAAATTCAATGAGATCATTCAGTTAGGTTGGTTAAAAGTTGTATCTTAAGCCTCTTTAACACGTTGAGGATTTAGCCAGCATATACCTGACGTACGAAACATCTGGCTAAAACGTTGGCATGTTATATAGGTCAGTTTTGTGTAAGTTGTTAGCACGCTGGCACACATCGACATACGGCAAGTACGACCTATGCCAGCGTATGCTCATACGTGGGCTATAAGACTTAGACTTAGACTTGACTTTATTAATCCCTTGGGATTACTCCCTTCGGGAAATTGTATTTCCAGTAGCAGGAAAAATTGCACATATAAGATACATATAAGTTACAGGTGTTCTGGTTACAGCCTCAACCAACAAACTTCCTACCAGAAAGTTTTTTTTTTTTTTTTTTTTGCCAGGTGGTAAACACCATCCAGGTTAATGTTGTGATCAAAGAAATCTTTCTATGGACGCCGGGGGCCTCCAGGCGCATTGCTGCCCCCTTCAGGACATTGGCTTGGGACATTTCATGGGCATTACGCTGCAGTGCCCTATGCAGAACTTAGGCAGTCGTTGGACATAAGTTCTGGGCTTGTTATGAGTTCTCTATGCATACGCCTGAAATTGAAAAAATGCATAGAAAGTTCAGCGTAGGCCAGCGTTTCAGACGATTCTAGGATGTCAGGCATACGCTGGCTATATTGTGAAGGTGTGACAGGGGCAAAAGGAAAACCAGCTGATTGCATACTTTTAAATCTTTGTCGAAGCATTTTGAGCCCCGCGTTCAAGCAGGATATGCACTCATGCCAGACATGGGCAATGTGGAGTCAACAAGTCATCTCCATGTCATGTATTTAATCTACCCAGACAATTAACCAGGTAAGTCCAATCTGCACAGGTTAATTCACGGTGAAGATTGGACTCACCTGCTTCAGTGGCTGGGTAGAACAAATACATGACATGGAGATGACTTGTTGACTCCACATTGCCCATGTCTGACTCGTGCTAACATCAGCCATCATGCCTGCAAGTCATTTGGTCTTTATCCATTAATTAAAGTCTTTTAAATATGTTTTGAATCTTTTAAAGATTCTATTAGACTGGTGGAGACCACTCTGGCTGCTAGGCTAGTTAAACTAACCAGGTAATAGTTGCTTTGGGAACCCTAAAGGAGAGCCTTCAAACCAAACCGCTGCCTGTTTACAGCTTAGTCATTGGAATGAATGTCATGAGGTATGCAGGGGGGAAAAATGTGGGCTTCCAGAGTGTTGGGGAAGCACGCTGATTAATTACCAAGTGTTCCCATTACCTGAGTAATACAAATCTTTGGGCTGTTTGTTGGGCTTTTAGTGGAAAGGGGGCTATTAAAAGACAGCTTATGTCACTCTGACATGATCTCAGAGTGAATGCCAACTGTGTTGTCTAGTTATCTGTTTTTAGCGTAATCCATCAATCTGGTGATAGAGGCTTTGTGGTGTTAGCAGCACTTTTCAACAGGTTGTTCTGGTTGCTCTCAAAGGAATGATAAATCTCGACTCCATGAAGGGGCTTAAATTACAAAAAACTTACCAATCTACAGTTCTTATTCCTTGTGCATCTTCTTCTATCATGTTCAGTATTTTATCATTGCAAACTCACCTTTCCAGCACAGCAGAGGGTATGAAGCTGCTTTGCGTATAAGTAATAGAGTGGCTGCTGTTTATGGTATTAACTTAAGGGGTTTTATCCACATAAATTCCACATTCTTGTTGCCATTCATTCAGTTCTATTCAATGCAGTTGTATCTATATCGTGCCAATTCACAACACATCAGGCACTTTACAGAAACGATTTAACCAGATCATACAGTTTTCTATGTAAGTAAAACCAACCGATTGCATCGACTCATTGACTGAAAAGTAATTTCTCACACCAAGCATGCTTGTAGTGACTGTGGAGATGAAAACTCCCTTTTAACAAGAAGAAACCTCCAGCAGAACCAGGCCATCTGCAGAGACTGACTGGGGTTCAAGGAGACAGAAGGAGACATACAGAAAGAAGCAGAGATACAAAAGGCAACTGTCAACCAGCTCCACAGCCGGCCCCGTCCAGGAAAAACAGAGCCAGGCAGACATGCTCCCATGTCAGAGGATGAAAGAGAGCACATAGTTAGTCACAGTCAGGGAAACATGACTGCACTGAAAAACAGGCCAAGCTCCAACAACTGAAAACAAAGGTGTTGATGGCAGCAGCACAGGTGATATTTCACCCTAGGATGGCGTCACAGCCAAAAAGGAACAGACTAGATGAAGCTACTATGAGAAAAAGCAGAGAGAGCATAGTGTTAGAGATTGAACTAACAAATACTGCAGAATGGGAGAATAGAGATAAAATGAAATGGAATGATGAAGAGTGGTCCCCATGTCCTCCAGCAGTCTAAACCTGTAGCAGCATAACTATTGAGTAGAGATTGGTCTGGATAACCTGAGCCACTTTAACTTTAAACTTTATCAAAAAGTAAAGTTTTAAATCTTGCCTTAAAAGTAGACAGGCTGTCTGTCTTATGGGCTAAAACTGGTAGTTGGTTCCACAGGAGATGTAAATAATCCTGGGCTTTGGCCCAGTTCATGTTTAGCATGCCTCCCTCTATTTTGGCATTACTTTTCTTGCAAGTAACAGTGATACTTTAAGTATGAATGTACTGTGGTGCCCTCAAATGGATGGTAGTAATATTACAACACCAAATCACAATGCTTTTAAGCAGACGTTATTAGTAAATCGGATGGAACCAGTCTATGACTAATAAAACATTAACCATTAATTAGGTGAAAGTTGACAGAGTGCCATTACACTCTGGTAGCAGTGAATGCAGTAAATAGTAGCCTTACTAATTCAATTCAATTCAGTTTATTTATATAGCGCCAAATTCACAACACATGTCATCTCAAGGCACTTTACAGTTCAACCAGATCATCCAGTCAAATTGATACAAAGTTTTCTATCTAAGGAAAACCAGTTGATTGCATTGACTCATTGACTCAAATACAATCCCTCACACTAAGCATTCTTGTAGCGACAGTGGAGAGGAAAAATCCAATCTGATGCCTCTTCTTTTTATGAAGACTTTCACTGTAGTTTTTCACTATTGAATTTTGGAAATAAAAGCTTGGGTGAGGCTCAACTAACAGGTAATTATATTGATAATGAATAATTTCCCCTATAAAATCAAAGATAAATTAGACATAGTAACAGTTTATTCCACAGAGAAATACTCTTGTATGAATTGCTAAAAAGGTTAATTTAGATTGGATAATTGTGGAGCTATTTGATTCTGTTGTCTATTTCCAGTCAGAAACAGCTTCTCAAACCCTATGGGCTTGACATGTTCAAATTGAAATTAGTCACATCATCTACCATGACTTAAAATTAACAACAGAGGAAATCTGCCAGGAGAGTTTTTTTAGTATCTCCTGAGGCTCCACCCACCCCTAGCTTAGTATTACATGCTTTACTTTTTATGATGATCATCATCTTTTTTGTGATGAAGGGATAATGGGCAAAAATCTAAGAACTGTTTATTTTTAATAATTCAAGTTGGTAAATATTTTGATAAATCAAACCTGATTTCAATTTATTCATTGAGGCCCAATGAATTAACATTGGGCGTCAATGAGGTCAATTCTTCATTTTATCTTTGAGGTCAAACAAATTGTCAGATCTTTTTTTTCTTTTGAAACCTTAAAATTCAGCTTTATTTCTTGCCTTCTGTGTTTTTAACTCCTTCCTTTATCTAACATTTAGTTTTTTTCCATCTCTCCAATGCAGGTGTTATATGCCCCCCAGGCCAGGGATCGCTTCACTGCTCCTTCCTTCATGCAACGGGACCGCTTCAGCCGCTTCCAGCCCACTTACCCCTACATGCAGCATGAGATCGACCTGCCGCCTACCATATCATTGTCAGATGGAGAGGAACCCCCGCCGTACCAGGGCCCCTGCACACTGCAGCTCCGCGATCCTGAACAGCAGATGGAACTCAACAGGGAGTCAGTGAGGGCGCCGCCCAACCGGACCATCTATGATAGTGACTTGATCGACATAGGGAACGGGGGCGGTCTGGGGGGGACTGGTGGAGGTTTAGGAGGAGGTGGCCCAAGGCCTCCCAGCAGTAACTCTGGCATCAGTGTGACCAACTCCTGCAGTCATGGGGGCATGGAGGGGCCTCCACCCGCATACACCGAGGTGATGGGCCATTTTCCGGGCTCGGCATTCTTTCTACACCAGCACAGCAATAACCAGAGATTAGGGAGACCAGAGGGACTTGGGAGCAGGACGATCCAGCGGCAGAGTCAATCAGAAAGCACAATAGTACCTGCCAAGGCAAAGGATGGCAAACCAGAGGACCTGGTTTGAGCAAAGGGGAGGACAGTTAGAGCCAACCCCTCCGTACTTAACACTGTTCCCCATGTTTACCCCTGATGCCTAAGCTTTGGTCCAGCATCGCTCCGTCGTGCTCATGTCCTCTCTCCACACTTCCGCGCACAAACACATCTTGACCTGAGCTACAACTAAACTAGTATGGAGAAACCACGAGCGAATTTCATTTGACTTTTTATCCAGCTAGCACCATTTGGGAATTGTATTTTACCCTTCTCATGGAGAGGGAAAAAACTGGCATGCACAGACTGTTTTGTTTTCTGTGTGTGGACAATGGAAGGTTGTTTTTGGTCTTTTGTTTAGTTTTTTTGGACCGGGATCTGTGCACAACGTGAGAAACTGAGAACCCAGTTCAGAGAGATAACAGAACAAGACTCACCAATCCAAATCTTAGTGCCAAGGCTCACAAAGAAGCAAGGAGGGCAAATGACATCTTCTATTAATATAAACAAAAGAAAAGTTCCCTAAAAGTTGCACTATCTTTTTTTTTTTTTTTTTTTTAAAGAGGAGAGGGACTTGATGTCATGTGAAGCTGATGTTTAGTTTTTTAAGGTTTTTTTTTGACAACTGACTGAAATCTGGCTCCAAAGTTGAACAGCTGGTAGCAACAAACTGAAAAACAAAACCAGAAAAAAAAAATGAAACAAACACAAGTATAAGCTTATTTCCTTCCTTTTCTAAAAAGGAAAAACCTTGAGCTAAGCCTGAACCATCTCTTTGCTTACACCACAGGCACAATTAAACTTAGTAAGAGAATAACTTTGTACTGCGATAGGTCTGCTTCCTTGTGGAGAGAAATCTGCCTTGTGACCAAGCATTCGTGTTTTTTAAAATCCAACAAAAAATGTTTTTTCTCTTTTTCTTTTTAAACCCTGTTTTAAAAGTTTAGAGCTGTGTTTCAACACCATAAGCTTCAGTACCCGTCATATTTTTGGCTGCTTGGTTGGTGGAGATTTTTCTTCCCAAATCTGTCCCATTCTCTGAGCATCTGAACTTGCACACAGAGCATTCTACCGCGCGGAACACAGAACCCTGCCGCTCACGTTGACGGCAACAGATAGCAGACTCAACTCTCCGCCTCACGTCAGCGATGCCACGCGTGCACACACAAAAATTGCAAAGATTGCATAAATAAGGATTGCGCAAATATTGACTGAGTTGAAGTCAAAGGGCTACCAGAGGGTCCTTTTTGATAAAGAAACTAGAAAAATCTAGCCTTTTTTTCACCTCATTGTTGCCTTTAATCCTTGCTGTTGTGCTTGCTCTATCTTACAACTGCACATTTCAGTGCACCTTCTCCCCCTGCGAAGATAAACTGCTCATCGTCCACCTCCCCATTTATGTGCAAAAATGATGCAGAGTCAGCCAAGCCCTTTAAAGCTGAGTGCGGAGTGGAGTTGTCGTTTTGCAGCATGTGGATGCAGGCTTCTCCTCACAGTGTGATTGTGTTGGCATGTTTGTTGTTATGACCCTTAGTGACACTGAAAAGAACTTAAGGCTTCTCCATTGCTATTTAGTGATTTATTAGCTGACGGCTTTCAGCTTTTAACATTTAAGGACATGACTTTTTATTTGTTGAAATTTAGCAAAGCGTCTCTCTAAGAACACGAAAATGAACAAGGGTCATAAGCCAAAGAGTGCACGCAACAGATACACCACTTAGATGCACAAGTTTAACTTCAGTTTTTAATTCATTTTCCATTCATGGATCAACAAATCTCATTTCTGACCTTCCCTACCCACTAAGACCTGCAAGGCCTGGAAATGATTAATACCACTGGAAAATATTAAATTTCTTTCATTTAACCAAGAATTTTATTTCAGAATAAAAATTAGGATGTTAATCTTCAACTTTACAATTTGACTGCATGTCAGACGGATGCAATCATCAACTCCTTTAAGTAATATAGCATTAATAAACCTGCTGGTGACAACACCCCATTGTTACAGTATTTGATCAACTTCACTTTTTCTGATGAGATGTTTTCTTACACGTCACATACGTGCAGCGTGACGTCCACACAGCCATGTTATGTCACTTGATCAACCACGCCCCTCCACATAGCCAGAATTTCCAAAACAGAGGCATCTAGGAATATTTGTAACTACTTGGACAGCACTATGTGAAAAAAAAAATGACAGACCAGCAACAGCTCCTGCTGGTGATATTTCCTATGATTCTGCCTTAAAAATGCCCACAATCAACAGATTATGAACAATTCTTGGAAAGAATAAAGTGATCCTTCCTCTTTAATGACACTATCAGCTCCAACTCTGCATTATATGATTACCGATGCTCATCATAGCATGTTGGTTTTTATGCAGCCTTTGAAAAGTGTGACATCATCACACCAAAACTGCGTTCACCATCAAATTGAGTTCTATTATGTGTTCCCTAAAATTTTATCATGAATTGCTATATAAACTATAGAGATTTAACATGAATTAGTCGATTCAATCGTCCATCTCCAAGCATCAAATAATTTTATCTCAAACCCTCCAGAGAGGTAATAAGATAATTTGCAGTACCGTAGGCTTTATTTGTTGTTTGTTTTCATCAACAAGAACAAAAATGGCAAATTTAAAGTCACCAACATCCTTCCTTAAGATAAGTGAAAAAAAAATTGTTAACTGGTTTTAGAGCAAACAAAGCTTGTAATAATGAAGGAGCCATACTGAGGCAGTGTAAACACTGATTTTAGTTTTTTTTGGTTGTGTGTAAATTGGGGGTAACATTGTTTTGGAAATTTGAGCGCCCCCAAGTGGTCAGTCATAAGCTGACTTGATCAGTTACGCTGCTATAAGTTTGAGCTCCTCCCAACACCAAGAACACAGAGAGGATTGCCTCTCCATCATTACAGATCGACATGGAAGAACAAGTTCATTCATTCGGCCATTTTAGCACATCCTTCTCTTAAGGTGTCACACGCCGCCACCAATGAACGCTGCCTCATCAAATTCTGTTGTTTTTGCTATTTTTTTACAGCAGAGAAGCGATAAGGAGCAACATTGTCCTTATAGAGGTTTGACTAAAGGGAATCTACTTCCTCAAATGAAGTGCAAAGACAGAAACGCAGCAGTCTGAAGGGTTTTTAGAAGATCTGGACTCTTGGTAGTAATCTTTGCTGAAGTTATGCATAAACAGGTACATAGCAACAAAATGATAGCCACAGCTGGTATGTAGACATCTGCAGCTTTAGTAAAACAGGAAGAAAAAAACTGTGATAAAAAAGCCTTCTGTAGTTTCTATGTCTGAAGGTCTCTTCTATTTAACAAGAGGCTGTAAAATCTAACGGGGCTAAATTCGTTTTAGCACTTTTTCACCCTGATGTCTTGTCAGCTTAAACTATCTGTTTATGTTGGGTGGAACTGTGCATTTACATCGGGTAAATGAACCTAATGATCATCTCTTTTATCCTGATGCAAAAAATGTTATTTAGGGACAGTAAAGATCCACTGGGAGTAAATCAGATACATCAAACAAAAAGAAAAAAAAACTGGCCTAGATCCACTGGTTCCTCAATATTTTACTTTTAAAGTTAAACCATTTATTTTGTATTTTTAATTTTTTTTTAAATTCACGTTCGGCCGACGCCACAAAGACGGACGTTTTGCTCACTTTGAGCCAAAGCTTCTGAATCCTTTTTCCACATCAGTGTGCTTGAATGTATGATTGTGTCTTACTGGTCACGTGTTTCTACATCTCTGCTGCTATTGCTGTTGCTGCTGCTACCGCCACTGTCTTTGCTACTGCTGCTTCTCACATCCCTCCATCATCCATTCCACTGTACTCCATGCATCTTTCTGCAGCCAAAGCCACAGGCACTTGGACTCTTGGTACTTTTGAGCTTTTGGCTGCAAAGAGCTCCTTTACTCTCCTTTTTTTTCCCCTTATTTTTTATAGTTTGGTTATACCACAATTTCATTAACCTGTAAATGGAGGATAAATAAGATACGTTTTATGTTTTCTATGAGGAGGTTTGCATGTTACTAATATATGAGTAAATATGGTGCCTAATGTTCATGTTTGAGCAGATCACGCCTGTCACACTGCTTCTCGGAATCCTTGCAGGTGCCTTGTCTCAGCAGCAGCCAGAACACAACAAAAACCTTCCAGAATCCTTAATTACTGGATGGCCCAAAATGTTCCCAGCTTTGAGTCTGACATAATCTGATTCCAAATTCATCCTAACTATTCATCAGAAAAGACGTTTGGAGATCACATCTTGCAGCTCCTTAGTTAGAAGCACCTGGCTCCCCTCAGCTGGAAGCAGCTAGACCTATTCCGAGCAGTAATGTAACGGGAGTGTGGAGCAGACATCGGAACCCACTTGCACTCAAAAAGCTCCCACCTTCGTTGTGCCTCACTTCCAAAGGTGCTTTTTTCAGTAGGTTGTCTTTCTTCGTTTGTTTGTAAGGTGCTGTATATAACTTGAATATATTATGCACATATCCTACCCAATGGGTAGACACCACAAAAAAGATGTTGTGAATAATGTAACATAGTGTATAGATGATATTAAAGTTTTAAGAGGGCAACATCAAATTTGTAAATGCCTACATTTAAAATCAAGCTTTGTCTTTTTTTGTTCTTTGAATAAGAAAATCTGTTTTTCAAAGTATGCTCAGAAGATGGTTGCAAACAAATTACTAGGTCTATTTTATTTGAAATAAGTCTTTTTATCATATCGATGTGCTAAGCTGAGCTTGTTAAGGAGATTCCTCTGCAACAGCACCAGAAACTGGACACAATGTTTTATTATGGTTTCATACCAACTGACCAACGTACGGGAGGACGTAGTAAATGGATCTGTTAGGAACATTTAACAAGGCAGACTAACCTTTTGATACATTTGGTTAAAGTGTGTAAAGACCTATGAAAATAAGGAAAGATAATGCATTCATATTTATTTGCAGTACAGAAAAATGTGAAAGAAAATTCAAACCTTGATTTAGTGCTGGAAAATATTACAGTTTAGATATAATTCATATTGGCACCTTGTGTCTTTCAAACACTCCCCTTTATACGGCACTCTGTGAAATACTTTGAAAATCAACATTTCAAGCCAACAGTGTTACTGGAATCCAGGACAAAATCCTAACTCTAACCTTTGTAACATTCAAAAAAATATGGATATTTTAATGGCAGAAATTAATGTTAATGTAAGAACAAGAAACGCCAACTTGCCCGAATATATTAAGAAAAATAACCAAAGTGCTTCTATTAGAAATTCATAAAAAATACTCACAGTAAAAGGAACAAATTTTTTTTTTTTTTTTTTGGTACAACATAACCTTAGAGGCATTAATGCTGATACTCGCACTTATATTTTCTTTATTTATAAATATGATTAACTAGGCTTATTAACTTTTTAACTTTTCAATGAGCTTTTTACTTTTTTTTTTTTCTTGACATTTTTTTTCTTCCACTTAATTTACAATACGTAATATATATTTCGAGGGCTCATCTAATTGGTCAAATGCCAAAATCAGATGTACAGCCATGTAGCAGCATCTTTGCTGCATGGCTGGATATAGATCTTGTGCTTCTAGAGTTCACTGAGGGACGGGGGGACTCCATTTTTAAGCGGTATGCATGTGATCAAAAACTGTAACTTGCCCTATAAAGGATTAAAACAGATGTAATTCAAAGTATTTATACTTTTTAAACTCAGTTATGTTTTCAGACTATCAATCCATCATCCCGTGAATGAATAAGTGACAGGACCATTTGTTTCAGTCACTTCTAAAAGAGGAGCCCCTCTGTGTATGATCCAACACTTTAAAATGTTAAACAACACCTTTATGTTTTAACAGTACCTCCAATAGCTGTTTAATTAAATGATGTAGTTTCTTTTAAAACATTCCACATTTAAAAGAAATCTTGTTTGAAGTTATAGTACTGCAATTAAAGCTGAATGTTTGAAGGTTTTAACGGACATCCTTACCAGGTGTGCCAATGCCCGGTTTTAAAATCTCATCAGTGTCTCTGACATCAGCTGTTGGGTAGAAGGCAGATTAGTTTGAACATTTCAGGGTGATGAAGGAGGATCTGCTCCTGAATGTGTCTGAGTTCTGGTTCCTTTCAGCAGGATCACTTCCTGCTGCCAAAAACCTGACTTAAGAAGACGGTCAGCGACAAGAAGAAGATAGTTTTACGAGGCAAATATTGGAAAGTTGCTACAGTGTGTAGGGTTAAAACCTACTAAACCTACTGCTCAAACTATCATAATATCAAAATAATATAAATTTTGTATTATTTAACTTCTTATTTTCTACATAAAGGTATATGTGGCACAATGTATAACAAGCATCATGTTTAACCTGCAGCAGTTTATCTTTTCTATGTACTAAAAAGAACTCTACTGTACAGTAACTACAGAGCATGTTCATTCTTATCTATTTGCTGATGTACATAGCTGTGCACCTTTTATTTCTTTCACAGCACCAAATAAGTGGCACTTGTGTTGATTTCATTTGGGAATAATGTTGCCTCAGCTCTCCTCCTGTTTGGACATTTTGTTTGTTTTCCCTAGAAGAAATAAAAGTCTGATCTAATTCGACTCGTCACCCGCAGCGCACTCCCGCTTTCCACCTCTCAAGTCTGCACTCAGTGTCAACAGAAAGTAGTTGTTTATATTGTTCCATCAACAGTTATAACTGTAGAGATGAGCTGTAGAGATCTACAGCTTATCCAGACATTTACCATAGGACTGCTTTTATTATGGGTTTTGTAACATCAGTTTCCTTCATTTACAAATTAAATCCTTTCTGTACCCCGCCCCCCTCTGTGCTGAACCACGATATATATACATACATATATATATATATATATATATATATATGCGTGTGTGTATATATCTATATACTCACACAGAGGTAAAATTGTTGTGTATTTTTGCCTCCTTATTTAAGCAAATGTGATGTAATAGGTTTTAGGCCTATGGTCTGTTATTGCAATACTTTTACAGAAAAAAACATTGAAAACTGTTGCTCTAAGTGCTGTTGTAGTAAAAAATTTTATGCTTGTACTTATGCTGTAGTCAGACTGCAGCGTAACAAATAAAACTTTAAAAGTGAATCTGCTGTTCTTGCTGTTTATTCATGAAGCAGTACGAAGGGCTTTCGGAACAAGG